ATGTAGGGTCTTCGCCCTTTCACTTTTATTTAATACCTAACAATGGTGGCAACTGCAGATTTTCCGTCGAGTCCTACAAATCTACAGTTCTTTTACCTCTGAATATTGGAATATATAAAATATAATTTATAAATCGCGGCATCGGCAGCAGTATCAGTTGCTTAATTAACAATAAGACAAACAAATAACAGGATTCAAAATCGTGGGTCGATATAAACCAAGTCACGTTAACAAAGACACGCTTCGGTGTGATAGACATCTTGAATCAAGTCGAGGATAGGTCGTGGTTTGTCCTCAAAGGCGATTGTCTCAGATTTGAGAAGACACAGTTCAAGAGCCGGCTAGTTTAGCAATATCTGCCCGTCAGTCCACGCATGTATGAAGGATTAGAAGCTAGGTTTTATGACAATGAAGGACAGGTACTAGGCAACAATTCGTTGTCTGCATGTGAGATTATGAGCATAACCATGATTGGATTAAGGATCTGAATGCTTTGTCAACAAAACATGCTTATTGCAGACCGATACAATGTTAGATACGACAGACAGGTAAGGTTTTTCAGTGATTTGTGTAATTCATTTCCTATTAATTCAGTTTCTTGAATATATTCATATGTGTAAGCAACATGCCAGCATGTTTATTTTCTTTCGTTTCATTAATATAAACAGCAAGTAATAGAAATAAAAGCGATGTAAAAGTTAATTTCATATCTATTAGCAGACCTTTCACCTCAACTGAATTATGACTGTAATGTTCAGATAAACCGTTGGCTCTGAATCATTTTACTTCCACATCTAGGCCGAGCGTTCTATTTGCCTGAATTACCTCATCGAGTGCATCCTTAACTTTACCTAAAGCTTAATTTACACAGAATTCACTTTTACATTAAACAAGGATCTCGTTGAATACAAAGTTAATTGATAATTCTTACCTATTTCAAATAACCGCAAAAAATTACGATAGAAGTCATGGGGAACTCATCAATCACATGTTAGTTATGAAGATCCGGTAGAGTACAAAAACAAGTACCTAAGTCCCCAGTAGACGCAAATATAAACTTAATTGCATAGAATTAAAGTTGAAAATAAATTTAAGAATTTTTCAATTTCGGGTAGCTTGATGTGCTTGTGTCTGTACCTAGAGACGTTCATTGATGTCGAGGACTTTTCTGATTACAGTGCAGCGTCAATATTGCGTCGTGTAGATGTTACGATCGTACCTATTGCACTAGCTATAGTGTACAGACATTTATAGAATGCACCTATATTTGTTTTGTGAGTTTATCTTTAGATTTCATAACATAGGTAAGTCTGCAGTTTCCTTTCTATTTGAACAGGCACATTTCTAGATGCGTCACCGGTTTCTTTATTGTTTTTTCCGTCTATACTTAGAATCTTTGAAGTAATCTGAATTTAGTTTTTAGTCACCTGTATGAATTCTATTCTGAAAATAATTATATTTGAAAATACAGTGCAGTGAACCTATCTGTCATCTCCCAGATTTAGCCCGCCAACGTTAGTAACAAAGTTTGAGTCTATGATTGCTCTAACGATGACGAAGGTATTTTTAAAGCCAGCGGGGTCGTGATGTCATTGTCATAGCTCGATGCCATGTAATAGCCGTAACTATTACACACAGCTTAAATTTAACTTCACGTAGTATGTCGGAGATATTATTACTTATCAAAAGATTTCATACTTGTGTAAGATTTATTTTCTTTGTCACCATCGATGGCGTCACAGCTAATTTTCTTCACCAAAATAGAGCAATGTGAATCACATAAACACAGGCCAATGGTTGAAATGAAAGGGAGAACTGAACTTTTCATGCTCGTTAGTGTAGGTTATAAATCAAACTGCGTCGTCTGTCGACTCAGCGCAGTTTCGTCCATATCTTTTTACGTCACGCAATACCTACCAATATAATTAAAAGCGTTGAAAAATGCTTGCTAGTCTCCGATACGTTTCTTAATGAAAAACAGGATTTATTCAAAGAAAATAGAGACGCGTGCTGCATTTTGTAAAGCGACTTATAAGGAGGAGACAGAACGAGATGCGGCATCGACAATTATTGTCTGCGGTATACCTACTCCTTTTATCAAACTATTTATTGTAATGAGGCGCCTGCATTATTTGCGTCACACCTTTTGTGGCCTAATCGTTTGTATTGCAATTTGCAACCTGTTAAGTCCTAAACGACCTCTGCCAAGATTGACTACAGATACATATAAAATGTTTATACGACGTGCACAGCTCATCAAGAGCCCGATTTAGAGAGGAATGATGTGCGAAGAGATTTATGATAACATCTTAATTTTTTATGATGGATCGTTATATTTGTTTATGAAAAATATACCGGCAGTTAATCATAAATATTTTATTAGTTACGTTTCAATATTTAGTTCAAAGCTACTAGGATCATTTCTTTATTTATATTTCACTTTGAGGCGTGAGTTGTCAAAGGAAGCTTGTCTAACAGCAGAGGAGTACACAGAAATAGACATCCAATGTCTTTGTCGTCGTTAATTCGATTTTGGAAGCACTCAAAGGTAATTCTAGCACCGAGATCCGAGTTCTGTACGTTGTAAGAAGATCAATATATTTCCGTGTGGAAATAAAGGTAAAGTAATTGAATTAGTATTCATATAGCAGTGTATAGGGCTCTTCTAGAGTCTGCGGCAGCACACCGACGGACCGAGATACATAGTGAGATATTTGAACATTAATATGTCGTTCAAGTATTGTAACACTTTCGGGATAACGCAATCATTGCAGCGTACCAAGCAGCGTAGGTAAATTATGTGTAGAAACTTCTTTTATGCTGTGCTTCAACCGCTTGCTACCAATATAAGATATTACTTTTTATCTTCTATTATGTTTATCTGCCAAATAAATCATTTTAAAACAATAGCACTTCAAATCTTAAGTCTATTCAGTCAGATTGTAAGTAATTTGTTAGTTAATTTACACAACATAAATTATAACTATTATGTCGGTTGAAGAAAACATAACCGTAAGTTACAAAACACAAAAACCCATAAAATGTTGTACCTATCTTGAACACATTTTGAGGAATTGTTCTGAATTAACACATTTGCAAAACATCTGGTCTTACATTTTCTTGCGTGACAATTTAGCTAGGTAGGTTACGGTAGGTATACGGTTCCTTATATTACTTTTTTATATTAGTGACAGTCAAACGGCCATATCTAGGTATACACGGCAGGGTCGTTGACTACAGCCCCATAGCAGGGGGTATAAAGCGCGCATGACATCCGCCCGTGCACCTCTCAGAACCCTTTTTTATTAATATTCATCGCGTAGAACCAAATCCAAGTGTCCACTTGACTTGCTCTAACAGCAAGGGACGTCTGTCGCCTGGCTGAAATCAGTGAAGGCCGCGTCGACTATACAGTCGACGCGGCCTTCACTGATTTCAGCAAATATTTTAGCTCAATAAAGACAAAACAGAATTACACAACAACAGCGTGTAAAACGTTTTGTCAGAAGACTAGAGGTGCTACAAATATTCGGCTAGGGTTTTTAATTTTCGAAATTAGACCGAATATTGATACCAAATAAAAATAATAGAAAAATCGCGACTGCTATTTATAAGAACATACTTGATTTAAGTTAATTTAGTTGATTTGATGGTTTGAATTAAAATTTTTCATGGGTTCCTGAACCTATCTGTTTTTGAAAATCATACGCAACTACGTTTTGGCATTGAGCATAGCCGAATATTCAGTATTCGGCCAAATCACTCTCCGTAACATCTCTACCGAATACAAAATATCTTGGTCCAGTAAACCTATTGTTGTTACGAACAAAGTTAACACATGTGTACAACACACGACATTACCTAATTCTTCAGTTTCACACCTCAGTTCGTTCTTTAGGTCAGGATATTTGCATAATTTATTTAACGTTTTAATATTGCAACTGAACATATTTTGCGTTGGAGCGGGCGGCGTGCAATCGCACGACCTATTAGCAATTTTTACGCGATTGAATAATATAATCAAGTATCCGTATAACAATGAGCATTTTGTTTTGAATTTGCGTAAAGGTAAATAATTATATAAATGAGTGTTGTATGTTTATAAATACATAATTATACACATAGGTACGACTTGCATTGCATTTACAATACGTAAACATTGGTTTTATTACATCTTAGTTTTCAAGTAGGCGAAATAAATAAATATTTGACTGATGCTGAATATGGAATATAAACAAATAGCTAAAGATTATCTAAAACTTAACTTGCTGTCCATCTTTCGTTTCTTCAAACATAAATGAAGTCTGTCAAATAGTATTTTTTATTTATTACAATTTGAACGTGTGAAGTCGGTTAGGCGCCCACGTAGGATTTACCTGAGTGTGATAGACGTTGATTAGTGGTATATCCTTATAATGATATCGTTTTTGTTGGGTAACGAAACTACGTACAATAAAAAAAACAATTAAAATAAGCCGAATACATATTTGCTTCAGTTTACGGCGAAGTGCCAACTTCAGCCGTAATTGCCGGTTACAAACACAATAAAATAATGTACACTGAGCTGCAGAGAAAAGGATCCCCCTATGTAGATAGCTGCATACATATTTGTACTGCAGGGAGGGTCCATTTCTCTGCAGCTGACCGTCACCGTACCAACCGCAGTCCCGGTCCTAAACAGGAGAAGGAATGAAGTGGTTTTTAGTCAATAAGAGTCAGACACTCCCTCTCGCCCACTTCCCAGGACGGAAGTCTTCAAATGGAGGTGATTTTATAGGTAGGTATTATTTATTATTGACTTATATTTACGATATTTCAACGAAAATCCCTTCGTCTTTAGTCTGCCAGTTTTGACTGAAAAACCACGCGAAGTACTCTTGTATGCTTTTCATCAATAGGTATGTAGTATGATGATCAGAATAGTTTTTATTCGTTTTGACCAAGCGGCCAAAGACAAGAGAGGAAAGCTACTAATATTTATAGTACCTATAATGGCTTACCTGACAGCAACACGCACGCTCGACTCGTCAGCCATGGCTGAGCCGTGTACCTGAATCAACAAAGATATTTTGTTAAGAATTATATAGATATGAGGTCGCAAGTTCATTAACAACTATAAACTCATCTAAAGAACATAGACATCTCTCTTATAAGTCAACAACATAGGCTTCTCAACAAAGAATATCAAGTTTTGCTTCGCATCCAGCGAATTCCCTTAACTTTCACCAGATGGGTGCGGCGTATGCTACCCACGCTACGTCTTCCGGTACCATCCAGTAACTACCATTAAGAATCAAATTATAGTGTAGTCGTACCAAACTGCCTCCTTAGTGGAATGGTCGCATGGGTGACAGTCGACTAAAGAAGGGCAAAGTACTGTTGGAAGTTTACTAACTGTTTAGCAATAACTTGGAGCCTTATTACAAGAAATTCATATACTTAACTGAGTGACGAAAGTCATTGTTACATTAATGTAAGTATTTATTACAAATAAAACATTTTCAATCATATCAAAATACCATGCATGAATGCATGATAAATCTTTTGAAATTAGATAGAATACTTTAATCTCCAATCATATGCCACTGAGCTCAATGTTAAGCTCTTCTCATCAAACTTCTGCCAACCACCTTAGGGATATTGTCACTCTGCCTAGCTGGAGGAATCCCTATACTAAGAATCTTTTGCTAGACACGGTCTCCACTCTAAATGAGATGGTCATAGGTTATTCAAGAAACGTGGTCTGCCCTGCACTGCTAATCCTTTAAGCTATGTCGTCAAATTTAGTTCTCTGTCGGATCAGCATAGCAGCTATCCACAGGTTGATCTTTCATTCCAAAAGATGAGAGATTTTGCGCGACCTCTAAGTCAAAGCCAAAATTATTGTTCACTAGCAAAAATTAAAGACCAAAAAAATTAAACCTAGTAGCATTTTTGTTTACTCACATAAGCAAAATTTATGAACTCATAAATAAGATTAACTGTCTCCTACTGAAACAAATTAATTAAATTTTAATTTAAATCAGACTTATTATAATTCTGTCAACAAAAGATCCGCATGCATTAATTTATTTCAATAAACTTAGATTATAAGTTATGTGAACAAATTCTTATACAATTTGCATAACAAAGCATTGAATGAAGGAATCAATTTGAATTCACATTGTGTTTTTACCAAACTCATGGACTTAGTAGACGGTGGAGTTATTAATAACAGAATTGATTTATTATTAAGACACAATAGAATTACAAGAATGCATGCTTAAGTAATGAAACTAATAAGTTTTTTGTTGTTAATAGTCACTGTTAACAGATGTATATTTTTTTTTTCATACAAATTTGATTTTGTTAATTGAAGACTCCTTAGGTGTCAGTTGAGAAATCGAGAATTATATTTTTAATACCTGTGGCTTCATATGTGGCACTTGCCCTGACAGCCACACATCCTATCATTAATCTTTTTTTTTACTAACATCAACAAAAGACAGAGGTTTTCAGTTCAATCTGTATCACCTCTATTTATGTTTTATACACATTGTTTGCCAACCTAACTAATACTTAAATATTTCTGAGAGTAATATTATTAAGAGTGTAATATGTTAAATATTACACTCTTAGTAATATTCTTCAGTATATTTTTTTGGACATTTGCATATTTTTTTATTATTGTTTTGATAAGTCTATCTTATCTTTTTTTACAAGCTTACTTTATCTTTTACTATGCTATTATCTTGAAGGTTAATATTATAATCTAGCAAAAGATTGTATAAGAGTAGTAAAGTAGTGACTATTCTATTCTTTTTAGAGTACCATATCCAAAAAGTCTAAATCATTTATTCCAATGATACCATGGAAGGCACTTTGGAACAGCAGAGAGCAGCAAAAGATTCCATTATCTGTTTGTGTGTCTGTCTGTAACAGAATCTCTGTCTATTATCTCTATCTCTGTCTGCCTGTCTCTCTCCAGACAATGCAGACACAACAGACCAGGTTGTATCTCATGATATTTATGATTTTAATTTCAGCAGTTTCTTTTATGGCTCTGACAACAAATAATAAAAGCCAAACAAAAAAAAAAAATAAGCAGGCTGCTTATAAAAAGTGTTTTCTAATTGGACTTGGAATATCCTAATTGAATGTGTTCTATGTTGTCTATTGCCTTAAAATACTTTTCTATACTTCTGGCAGTTAAGTTTGAGGTAAGCCTGCTACATCTTCTAAATATTTTTATCAAAGCAAAGCCTTCTTTTTGTGAATTACATTATTTATTATTTAAGCTATTAAAATTTAAGTAGAAGCAAATATAATGTAATGTACACAAAATAATTAATATTTACCACATTTATCTACAAAATAAAAACCTAAAAACCTAAAGAAATATTTCACTTTCTGAAACAAAAGTAACAAAATTTAAAAAAGTAAATCATGAAACAAAAATAAAGCTGTAATATTGACACCATCCTTATCTAACAGTTTGTTGGAACTTATCTCAAGAACTATTGAACCAGATTTGATAAAAACTGCTTCCTGCTTGTTTTATAAATAAATACAAATACACACAATTGACATTCTGTATTTTAATAAAACATTGGAACTATGATTTGGATATTAATATTATGTTGTAACTAGGCTGTACAGTATATTTCCTTTGCCAATATTTAGTATTATAAATCTTACTTACCAATTGAGTTAAAATGAGTGGCACAATTATTAAGATATGTTATCTTACAATGTTTACTACACATTGCTATTGTAGGACTAATAATAACAAATATGTGGAATACCCCTCATGATATTTAAATATGAAAAAGGTATTGTTTTTGTTACTTAAAATACTTTCCAACACTATTTGATAAAACAATGCCTATAATATAGTGCAGGTTGTAGTGCTACTCTTGAGAGCCTATCGCTTAGAGAAAGGCGATAAGAAAACATGATTTATTCGAAAAGTACGCATTGTTATAAGAATATTCTACCAATCTATACTCACTGCGGTTTAAAAAATCCTCAATTTCTGATGCACTTGATCACATTTCATAAAGCATCGGCGTCAAGACGACAATCTAGATCGACAACGACCGATATTTACGTCCATCTTTCACCATTGTGGATAGATTAAACTGATTTTTATTGTTATATTCACGTATTTTATTACTTCAGTAACTTAAAGACGCGGTTTTCATTATTTGCCAGCACGTTTTAATTACGAGTGGCTTTAAACTTTTTAATAAACAAACGTATTTTAATTAAAACGGTAATTAGGAAGCAGCGCCGTTTGTCACTCGCGAACGCTCACAAAAATACATTTGACAACTGAAGTAAGTTGCTTGCTTGCTTGACAAAACAAACGGCACCGACGGATGGTGAAACGTCACTTATTTAGTAATACCAGTTTGAAAATATATTTTCCACTCACCAAGTAATGAAATAGACGAAACCAGTCATATGATACAATATTTTTTTACAAAAATAAAATACTTGGCGAATGATTTATGGTTGTTTTTCACGCAAATTACATAATTTCAGTATAAAATTATCAAAAATAAACTTAAATTTAACCGGTACTTAATCAAAACGATTAAAGTATTTAGGCTGTCGGGATTAATATTTTTTATAACTGCATTTTTTATCAGTAAGAGGCAAGAGCGCACGGATCACCTGATGGAAAACAATAAAATATTTTATAGCTAACCTAAATTCAGGGAGTGTTGATTTATGTGCAAACCCTAAAAATGACAGATATCACCCTGTGTTGTCATTATTTTTTTCTACCGTTGTTGTTACCGTTAATACCTGGAGGAATGCATAAATCTTTTACTTATTTACTTTACTTTACCAGATAAAATTATATAATGTAATATCTTTTTCACTAAAATAACGCCTTTGTCTTATTTTAGTCCCATGCGACTAAATTGGTCGGTATTAGTTCGGTTAGAATTCAACTCGATTAAAATTTTCGCGAAATAATCCGTAATACTTACTAATTTCGACTTATGTTTTCAGTGTTTAACTGTAAAAAGAAAGTGATCGGTTATTGTTTCTTTTCAATTTTATTCTTAAAAAGTAACATTATTAAAAATTTGTAACACTGGCAAGTTGCTACTAGCGCCACCGAAAAGCACAATGTAATAAGAAGAACTAACAGTACTTAAGAGATCGAAGTAGTACGTCGAACGTAAGATAGATGGTGCTGTACATAATTAAAAAGTTGTCATAAGTAAAGGAAAGATGGCAGCATTCAAATTAAAGAAGTTAATAGTCTACTTTTAATATTAGCTTTCTTCTATTTAGTGCAACTGCTACACATGTTCATAGGGTACCTAATAATTATATCCTACAGTGATTTTTTTATTCTGACACCACAATTTATACGGTGGTCATTGTTTATTTAGGTTATTTCAATTTGTTTTTGTTTATCTGTCCCATACGCCTAAATTCAATCAAAAACCTCTAGTGCATCATGCTCATAATGTATCGTGCATATAAGGAAATTCTTGGTATCCTTATTATTATAAGGCTGCAAAGAGATTGTTACCAGCTAACAACCAGATGGACCAATGACGTGACTCATTGATTTGAATATAGCCAGCGGCATCGTCTAATGACAGTTGTCTGTTTATTCTGTCTGTCTGTACACATAGCTACATGGAGACGACACGGGAAGCGTTTTAATTTATGTAATTGCTTGTCTAAGGCACCGTTGTATCCGTTATAGAAAAACATGCATAGTTTAAGTAGCATCTGTTTGTTGCAAACTTAGCTGCTTTTGTACTTGTGTGTGGGTAAGTATCCATCACCTCATCGTTATGTGGTAAAGCACAAGGTGTTTTTTGAGGTGGGAAAATCATCATCATCATCATGGTTTTCTCGCCTAAGGTGGGGCGAGTGGGAGAGTCAAACTCTACTGACTAAAATAGAGCGGATTTTTTTTAGATTTTTTGTACTTTTTTGTACTACTTATACTTTAACTAAGTACCTATATTTCTTTTTCTTTCTCATTTATGAGACTAAAACGCTTTGGTTCGTGTAACTGTACCTAATGTTGTATTATTTCTATAGGAACCTACACAGTCTAGTGTTGAAAATAACAATATCTTTTTGAACATAAAACTTGAGAGCCCGTACTTGTGATCCTCTTGTAGCACTTGGCTTTGGTGGCGCTCTCCATCGTAGACCCTTATGTTCTGAATATTGGGTTATCTACATTGTTACACTAATTACCTAAACAAAATAAATATTATGCTTAAAATGTTACATTTTGACTGTCTGTTCTTTGGTGGTTTAGGGCTGATTTTTCAATGGTTAGATAAAAATGTTAATGTTAACTGGGTAATAATAATTTGTGATGCTATCGCGTCAGAATGTTTGTATAGCAACAAATTTATTTCTCAGATAACAATTACCTGGCTATTGAAAAATCAGCCCTTAGACTACTTAATTAGCTTTGTGAAATACCTACGTTAATGCTTCTTAACAAGGTAAAGTACAAGTTGCCTACACCTTTTATTTTTAAACATTATAGCCAATCATAAAATATCTAGTTAATATTTTATGATTGCTCTATGTATATTTAGATTTTTTTATTTCAAATAGTTTTCTCTTGGTCCATTTTATTAGAATTAAAAACAAACAGGACATGTCATTTTCTAAAATGACAAAGACCTCATATTTTACTAAGATATTATAGCTTCTATCTAGTAAATATAGTGGTTAATAATAGGCACTTAGTATTTACTTAAAGTGGTAAGTTACCATTAACCACTTCTTGGAGACACTCGAAAGAAATTATGATTACAATTATTAAGTATAGTAGTTCTCAACTAGAAACCAGGATACCACGAGAAACTTCCTACAAGTCCAATTAAGTACCTACAAGAAAATTAAAATTGCTTGAAAACACACGGAGAGCAGGCTCATCGTGATGGAAGGTACGAACCTCCTTTATGTCAGTGTAAGCCGTTAGATTGTCATCACTAAGCGGGCACAATTTCATTAAGCTAATTGAGTGCGCCCGTTCAAGGGAATGCGGGAAAAATTAATTTCGTATGACAACACTGAAGTGTGCGCGTTTAAGGAAACGTCAACACTTTTTGGTAAGGTGAGGTGGTGAATATAAAGGAAACTTGCTTTTTATTATTTTCTTTTTTTATAGGTGATAGGATGGCAAACGAGTAGCTAGTCCGATTATCTGATGGCAGGTCAGCAATCGGCGCCACCAATGGAAACCCGCAACATCAGAGAAGTTGCGAGAGCGTTGCCGGCATTTTTAGGGGTTGGAGAGGGGAAGAAGGATTTGGCCTCCGGTAACCTCACTCACAGCCACTCACAGGGCGAAACGCAACGCTGTAGTCGTTTTACGCTAGTTTTCTTTGAGGTCGTGATACGGGTCCGGTCAAGTCGACCCATTCGAGCCGAAGCATGGCACTCAAACTTAAGAACTATATAAGTTATATGATAATTATAAGGTGATTTATCTATACGTCATGCACTTTTGGTATGGCGCATTCATATCTCAGTCATCTCCTCAATCGCTCACTTCTTTCATTTTCATACATATAGCAACAATAACCTATTTTAATTTTCATTGGAGTTTTCCTTTCTAACCATTTCTTTACAATAAACTTACTGACTTGGTCAAAATATCTATGATTTCCATCTATTCTCATCTCATAGTCCATTTCCATCAATTAAAACGGCAAAATCAGTTTTATGGCGAAACATTAGGGTAATGTAATGAGACAGTACTTATCTACTTAATTTTCCGTTTATTTACTATCGACTAAATGTTTTTAATTGTATTCGATCATTCAGTTGTTAAGTAAATGGATCGAGAGGGGAGGGAAATCGATTATCTTCGTGTCGCCCATGGATAACTAATCGTATTCTGACGACTGCCTAATTGATTCAGGCGTTTTTAGGTAGGTACTACAATTCTTTTTATATTAGATCGCCTTCGAACTTTATTTGAATTGACTGCAGAGAAGACGATTTATTTTAAATGTCGAATTGTGTTGCTGTTATTTAATTTTCGAATTATTTGCGTTCTAATTTGAGAAGAGGCCAGCTGTTGTTATGTTTATAATAACATAGTAATTATGAGAAGTAATCAAAACTATCAGACTATTCCCCCCCCCCCCTCTTAAAACATGTTTCCCTAATTATAAATTGCTTTTTCGTTGACATAATCTGCTGTGTTCACTTAAGCGTAAAGGAAATTGTAACTATCTTGATTAGGGACAACCTTAATTGTAAAATTGTTATTCTCTTCAGTGTACTGGTTAATGGAGGGTCGATTCTATTTTTATAGTACTTTTACTTTTATATAATTACTAACGCTTTAGGAGTTCGTTTGTTGTATACTAGCGACCCGTCTCGGCTTCTGATTCTGATAAACTAAAATGTTGATACTAAACTTCTTCTCTATTTAATACTTCTATACTAATATTAAAACGAGGTAAAATGTGAAAGTTTGTATGTAGGGGGTAATCTTTGGAACCACTGGTCGGATTTCCAAAATTCTTTCACTGATAGATAGCTACAATGTTCCTGAGTACTATAGGCTATAAAACATCACGCTACGATTAAATGGAGCCGAGCAGCGGGTGAAACCGGGAGAGAGAGTCTAGTGTTATTAAACATCTTCCTCATACCATTTCAATCACTCTAGATCTACTAAAAAAGGTAACTAAATCCTTTGTGTAGTTTTATAAATGTTGATCATATATGGGGACATGGGACAGATAAAGCGACTTTGTTTTATACTACGTAGGTGATCACATCGCAATGGGTTTTCAGGAAATACTTAGTTTTAATATTACCCATTAAGTAGTTGGCTGAAATCCAAGCAGAGCTAGGATCTGGGTTTATTATTGTGTCGGCCAAGTTCACGATTTAGGTATGGCGAGAGTTTAGCTAGGGTTGCGGGGTGAGCGCAATCAGGTACCGCGTCCTCGGCCTAGAGTAGGAAAAGGAACCACCATCCACCTCGTGATTTTTAGTTAGAAAGATTCTGACACTCTATTGCCCGAGCGAAAGAAATCATTTGATGATTTTCCCTCCTCAAAAAAGCGAGAGTTCCTTGTAAAAGAAACAATTACTGTAAGCACACACATTTACCCTTGTCTGCTTCTTTGGGATGACTACTACATATTTCTATAACACGGATAATTATAAAAAAAAAACTAATAGTATAAAAGGGGTACGTTACGTCGCACTGCGATGGGAAATTACGAATAAAAGTACTAGGAACTCATATTTTCTAAGGTATTTACTACTTATAAGTGTTTTAAGCAATTTCTATTGTTAGTTTGGCCGGCTGAGCGGCGCAGGCGCATGGTCGCACGCAGCGC